CCTGAAATGGGAATATGCAGAGGCCACTCAAATGAGAGCCATCAGTTTCTGCCCCTCACCCACAACAAAAATATCTTCTCTGGTGCAGTCAATACAAAAATTTGTAGTATAATGAAAGGTTAAGATTTGGTGTCAATGTAAAATAAAAAAATCAAAATCAGTAAGTACAAAGAATACTATACTGCTTTTTTATACTGATGGGAAGGAGGGAGGTATGAACTCTTACTGACAGTTATAGTCAAAGCCTGATTTCCTATGTGGCACATTAGACCAGAGAGACACAATAGAGACAATAGAACTGTATGTTGGGCACACCTGAATTACGTGGCTTTCTCCATACCCAAAACACATTACAGGGATAATTTGCTCTTCTCTACTGGAGGACTCCATAGCAAGTAATTTTTTAAATACGTATATATCATAGTACATCTACAACTCCAAATGTATAATTTGCTGTCTATCCTCCGACATAACCTGAAAGACTGTATACTATATTACTGACACTAAAACCAAGCCATGTTTTCATAACATCTTGCCTCTTGTTTTGTTCACTAATGAAAATATGCTTCGGGGTTTGTACTGGTTTTATGTAAACAATATATAAATGAGTAAAGATTTCAAAAGAGTGCTAGGCGAGATTAAATTATATCAAACTTCTACAAATTCTCAAAATGATGTTCTGAGTATTAGAATAGTAGTTTTATTAATAGAATTGAAATGACATCTATTTGGAGTTATGAAATGAGTTGATTATAAGGTATTGCAGGCTTATGCAAAGATTGCATGTTTGCATTTCAGTTAGACTGTGTAACAATTAACAGACAGTTTTTTGTAGTGACCAATATTGTCAGAAATTAGTAACATAAAATAATGTTATATCATAGAAATGTAAGGCTGGAAGGGACTTCAAGAGGTCATCTAGTCCATTTCCCCATACTGAGGCAAGACCAAGTATACCTAAACCAGTACTGATCAGTATTTGTCTAACCTGGTCTTAAAAACCTCAAATGATGGGGATTCCACAACATCCCTTGGTAACGTATTCCAGTACTTAACCATTCTTACAGACAGAAAGTTTTGCCTAGCATTAACCTAAACTTCCCTTGCTGCAGATTAAGGCCATTACTTCTTGTCCTACTTTCACTGGATATGGAGAACAATTGATCATCATGCTCTTTGCAACAGCCCTCAACATATTTGAAAACTATTAGTAGGTATCCCCTCAGTCTTCTTTTCTCAAGATTGAACATGCCCAACTTGTTTAATCCTTCTTCATAGGTCAGGTGTTCTAAGCCTTTTATTATTTTTGTTGTTCTCTTTTGGGCTGTCTCCAATTTATGTACATCTTTCCTAACATGGGACACCGAACTCTAGCTGAGACCCAACGAGCTCCGAGTAGAGCAGGACAATTAACTTCAATGTCTTACATACAACGCTTCTGTTAATACACTCCAAAATTATATTAACCTTTTCCACACCTACATCACATTGTAGATTCATTCAGTTGGTGATCCACTGTAACCCCTAGATCCTTTTCAGAAGTACCACCATTTAGCAAGTTACTTCTCATTTTCTAATTGTGCATCTGATTTTTCCTTCCTAAGTGTACTTTGCACTTGTCTTTATTGAATTTCATCTTGTTGATTTCAGACCAACTCTCCAATTTATCAAGTTCATTTTGAATTCTAATCCTATCCTCCAAAATGCTAGCAACCCCTACTAGTTTGGTGTCATCCACAAATTTTATAAGCACACTCTCTAGTCCATTATCCAAGTCATTAACAAAAAACACTGAATAGTACTGGACCCAGGACTGATCCCTGGGGGACCCCACCAGACATATCCTCCGAGTTTGATACAGAATCATTAATAACTATTCCTTGAATATGGTCTTTCAACCAGTTGTGCACCCACCTTATAGTAATTTCATCCAGACCACACATTTTCCTAGTTTGCTCGTGAGAATATCACATGGGACTGTGTCAAAAGACTTACTAAACTCAAGATATATCACAAGAGATAAATAAGAGATAAAATCAAGATATATTACTGCTTCCCTCTATCCATTAGGCCAGTAACCCTGTCAAGGAAGAAAATTAGGTTAGGTTGTCATGATTTGTTCTTGACAAATACATGTGGGCTATTACTTAACACTATTACCCTCTGGTTGCTTATAAAGTGACTGTTTAATAATGTGGTCCAGTATCTTTCCAGGAACTGAAGTTAAGCTGACTGGTCTGTAATTCCTTGGGTCCTCTTTGTTCCCTTTTTAAAAGACATGTAACTTATGTTGGTAACCTTTTAATACAAAATGGATCTATTATTTATTATTTTAACCTTTACATGCATTTTTGAAAATTTTGGGAACATCGGTAAGGATAGCTGCTTTTTAAGTCTGGTGGAGCAATACTCACCAATGAAAGATTACATGGTAGCAGAACTAGATAGATCCCTCGGGTGTTCATTTTCAGACTAATGTTTGAATGTTTTGAAGTTGGTGCTGAACTCAGTAAGAACACTTTCAACCTTAACTCTTTTAAACTAAATATTTTGTTTGGCAACATGTTTCAGGGATGGGGTAATGACTCATATTTAGGCTGTCTAAAAATTTCTGCCATAAAAAAAATATATATTTTTTAAGAAGAGGTCTTTTTTGTTTTTTTAGAAAAGGTCTAGTGCTGTTATGGTTTTTTGCAGTAACTTGAAATTTGTAGGAGACCATGCCTGGGGTCAGGGAGGCAGCTAATACTGGCTTCTTGAAAATCTGTTTTATTTTGGGCAGGTTATGAGCTGTCAAAATTGCCACTTCCTGGTGGTATTTTGCTCATTAGTTTGTCCCTGGCTTGCTGCCAAAAACGCCAAACATTCAATTAGCACTGTGCATGCTCCACCCCGGCGAATCACTTCAGCATGCCGCACAGAACTAATACAGACAATGTAGCAGCAGCAGCTGCTTTTCCTTCATCAAAGTACCAATTGGCCTAGAGAAAAGTGTAGAAGGATGGCAACCAGGGGAGCAATAGTTCTGGACTCACTTTTCCTACTTACAGACGTTAATAATTCTGCATCCTTCACAACCTTTATTATTGAGTAAAGAACCTTATACACCTACCAAGAGATTACACAGGCTGGAAACAGCATCCAGATTTTTAATGTAACAGATGCTAGTCTTAATTACTGAACCACACCATCCCTCAGAAAAAAATCTGTTAAATCTAAGTTCTCATCTATGCTGTCTATAAAATGGGGCTGTTCATGTTTATAACACCCACTGTTTCACTGTATTAAGGATCCTCCTCTAGTGGCTGGTCCACAGAAGGTAACAGTACATCAGAGTCAGCCATGGATTCAGTTTCACACATCATAAAATCAGAAATTCCAGCAATACAGTGTCACCCAACCTACTACTCAGCCAACAGGGTCCTAGAGGGAAGAGTCCCACTAACTGAAACAATAACACTTTCCATACCATCAAGATTTTCCTTGGAGGTCTCCCTATAAATATTCATCAGGCTTAAATTTGGTGACATGACCTCACGCACATTTGTACTTTTACACAGAATTGCAGCCCACTGAATATTTTTCACATGAGTTGATCTCTTACTTAGATGCACTTTGTATTGTACATTTGTCATGAAGAACAGATCAAATGTAAATTACAAGAAGCTGGTTAAATAATTTCATATATCTATATATCTGTTCATGCACATAGTCCTGTGTTCAATACCACACGATATTTAGAACAATTAAGATTACCTGGATTACACAAAAACTCTCTAGAGGCAACTTTCACTTTTCTATCCTTAATTCCTTTTTGAATCTTTAAAGGCTACCTAAAAGAGAAAAAGAAAAAAGTTTGCCCTTTGTTTCTTTATGTTGCATAAATATGGCCTGTTTTTTTTCCTTTTTGCTTTTCACCTTAGGAGTCTCAGGAAATGTCAAATCTAGTTTTCACTTGAGGATGTGGAGATCTCTGAGATGGACTATGAGCTCTCCTCATCTTTAACAGAAGGGGTGGAATCTTCATGCACAATTTAAAAGCTGTCTTCACAACAGTCACTTCCCCTCACAATCCAACGCCAATCCCATTAGCAACCTACTTACATTGGGAGAAACATGGAAGAAAAGACTTGTTTCTCTCATAGGAAAAAACATTAAAAAAGCACTTTTCCCCCTTTGAAGGTCAGCCTTCGCCTATCACTAAGAATATAAATATTTCTGCCCTGAGCATATCTGACAGGAGCCAGGGAGACAAGATGGGTGAAGTAATATCTTTTATTGGACCAACTTCTGTAGGTGAGAGAGAGAGAAGCTTTCGAGCCAGGAACTGAAGTCTGAGGCCATGTCACTACCTTATGGTCAATACTGTTCAGTTCAGAGTGGAGGAGAAACAGCAGAGACCTCTAGTGAGCCAGGACAGTTCCAGAGAGGAGCCAAATACACTCCCTCCTGGAAAATCAATGAAGGTTGTGAAAGAGACGTGCATGGTGCACATAGATCTATGCAATAGCAGTCTCTCCCCCTAACGCATGGGGGGGGGACACTCTCGAGAGCACGAACGAAGCATCCGCCCCCTTTCTGTCTCCAGGCCCGTGCACGGCATCAGGAGAGGTGATCCTCGCAACAAGGCATCAGGGCCCCTGTACACAGCAACCCCCCCCCCCCAAAACTCAGGGCCCCGCACAGGGCCGGGGCGCTCAGGGCCGGCGCTTTCCCTCTCGCCAGAAGAGCGGCGGGGTCGACACAGGGGTCTGGCAGCGATCGCTGCCTCGGCACCTGCCGGCACCGGAGTACGGCGGGGACCGGGCGCGTAGGCGGCAGCGCCTCGCTCGCCCCAGCCCCTGACTCCTGGCTCGCTCTCCCCGACAGGACCAGCTCCGCCGCCTGGACGCTACGCGATCCCTCCGATGATGGGGCGACGGGCCCAACTAGCCCAGGCTCCGGCCGCATCCCACAGCAGCCGCCCCGGCTCCCCCCGCCTCCGTCCCCAGCGCACTCACGTTTCCCGGCGGCGGCGACCAGGGGGTCCCCAGGGCCGCTATCCTGGAAGGAGAAGGCGGCGGCCAGGCCTCCGGAAGCCACCTGACTCCGGCTCCGCTACCAGCCCTGCCCCGCACGCCTCAGCCGCTCTCCGCCAACGGACCGTCCCCGGCGGCCCCGCTAGGGCCCACTCCGACCAATCCGAGAAGGCCGCCACAGGGGCGCGCGCGCGCGCGCGTTCACTCACTCAAACCAACCCGACGTCGCCTCGGCCTGCTCCCGCGCGCTCTGACCGCTCTAGCCAACCCGCGGCCAATGCCGCTGGGCCCCTCTCCTGCTTGTCAAGCCAACTAGCGGAAGCTGGGGGGGGGGGGGTGTTTCCTAGGGGGAGCGAGCGCTTCCGCCAATCGGCAACCGACTCCGTGCGGCTCGCGCGCGCTCGCGCCTCGCCGTTGTATCTCCGGCCCTCGTGCTTCCGCAGCCAATCAGCGAGCACGTCTCCTCGCGAGCTCGCGGTCCCGCGCTAACGGTCCTCTCTTGGTCAGTCGGCCGGAGCGCTCGCGCTCGTGGTTCAGCGCGCGCCGCTGGCGCGAGGGGTGTGGCTGCGGGATGGGAAGCAGGTCTGTGGCGGTGACTGTGAGGGGAATTTCCCTCACGCGGTCTCCGTCCGAGTCCGTGCAGGGAGACCAGAGCCCGCAGGTCACCAGGGGGCCCAGCCTGGCCACGATGGAGTCCTGAAACGGTGACCCCTGGGGTGCCTCCCCTTGGGGGCCTGAGCCCTTTGCTGGGGAGTGACACGGCTTCCTGCCCAACTCCTGCAACCCAGCACTGCCCAGCCGGCCGGTCCCCTGGGGCCAACTCTGATTTACGGCATGTCTCATAAGGGTGTTTTGCGCTCAGCACCAGCTCCTGGCTTCAGGGAAGACGCTCAGCTTCCTCTCTTTCTTTCTTTTTTAAGTAAGTTTCTTAGTCTCCTGGGTGTTGAGAAAAGCTTAAACATGTGCCCCAAGTTCACCCTAAAACCTCAAAATCCAGCAACTAAATTCTCTCAGATATATATATAGGGTTGTGTTTTTTTTTAATCTCATGATTAAACCAGGCTTGTGATTTTTGAGCACTTAGGGTTTGCAGTATTCTGGTCAGGGCTTGGGGGAGTTCTCAGCATAGGTGTGGGAACTAGGGGTGCTGCAGCACCCCCAGGCTGCTGGCCCCGCATGCCTGGGCTCTCAGCTGCTGGCCCCGCGTACTGGGCTGCCGGCCTCAGCTCTGGGGTGGACAGGGATAAGGGGGCTGGCTTTCAGCACCCCCTCTCTTAAAAATGATCCAGCACCACTGGTTCTCCATGAATAAACCCCAAAGCTCCTCCAATCACATGATCTCCAGCCAAGGCAGGGCACTATGAGAGCCAGGGAAAGAATATTGCCAGGAAGCTGCAACCTGAGGCCAAAGAGTAAATACAGGAATGCTGGGGCATACCAGCGGGTCATATGGAGCCAGAGTTTCAATAACTGTAGTAAATTAGTAGTAGGGCCTTTTTTTTTGTCTGTATCTCCTTTGTTATAGGTACACTGTCGGACTAGAGACCATCTTTATCATCAGGTCAGTGAAGCTAAACTGACTGTTTACCATCACTGGGTATTACAGTGGAGCAACGGCTTTACTATGGTTAATTGAGAGTCACTGTTTAAAATATTACTATTCTTAGGCCTCTAAAATCCACATGGTGACCAAGAATACCTTGAAATTTGCTGTGCTTCATAGAGGTGAAGGATTGAGTTAGTGGTGCAAATTTGGGGATATTTGAGCAAGGATTTCCCAAGATACAGGGTTCCAGATCCCCCCCACACCCCAAAAATCAGCCATTTACAAAAACACCTGGTTCTTCTCATCTTAGGGTAGGTCTACACTACAGCAGGAATCAACGCTCTGAGATCAATCCACCAGCGGTTGATTTAGCAGGTCTAGTAAAGACCCACCAAATCGACTGCAGATCGCTCTCTAGTCAACCCCTGTACTTTATCCCCGACGAGGAGAGTAAGGTAAGTTGACGGAAGATTTTCTCCCCTCAACCCCCCACAGCGTAGACCCCGCAGTAACTGGACCTAAGGTATGTCGACACCAGCTACGTTATTCACATAGCTGGAGTTGCGTAGCATAGGTCGACTTACCGCGATAGTATCAGAGGGGTAGCCGTGTTAGTCTGAATCTATAAAAAGCAACAGAGGGTCCTGTGGCACCTTTAAGACTAACAGAGGTATTGGAGCATAAGCTTTCGTGGGTGAATGCCCACTTCATCAGACGCAAGTAATGGAAATGTCCAGAGGCAGGTATAAATCAGTATGGAGATAACGAGGTTAGTTCAGTTGCGGGGGTGAGGTGCTCTGCTAGCAGTTGAGGTGTGAACACCAAGGGAGGAGAAACTGCTTCTGTAGTTTGATAGGCGTTCACAGTCTTTGTTAAATCCTGATCTGATGGTGTCAAATTTGCAAATGAACTGGAGTTATAGTCCTGAGCTCTAAAAAATCCTGACATGCACTCTGCCAGTACATCCCTCTTTGATGTCCGTGAACCTGCTTCTGTGGTCCACCAAGGTCTATATAATAATGTAGTACCATTTGTGGTTTCTGGGCGTTTGAGTCCCATCAATAGCCCTAACACAGTTTGGGAAGCCCATTCTCTCAAAGCCCACCACCTCTGGTGGAACAACAGTCCTGATTGCTTCAGGAACCTCCACAGCTGACTTGCCAACATCAAAGTGACAGAACAAGGAGCAATGGTCTCAAGTTGCAGTGGGGGAGGTCCAGGTTGGATATCAGGAAAAACTATTTCA